AACATTCCAGGGTGTCCTGGATCCCCATCCCAAACATCCCATGGATCCTGGATCCCATTCCCGACTCTCCCATGGATCCTGGATCCCGATCCCAAACATCCCAGAGGGTCCTGGATCCCGATCCCAAACATCCCACAGGATCCTGGACCCCAATCCCAAACCCCCCCGGGAGTCCTGGATCCCCATCCCAAACATCCCATGGATCCTGGATCCCGATCCCAAACATTCCAGGGTGTCCTGGATCCCCATCCCAAACATCCCATGGATCCTGGATCCCATTCCTGACTCTCCCATGGATCCTGGATCCCGATCCCTGAATACCCCAAGGTCCCGGATCCTGATCCTCTGGATCCTGGATCCTGATCCCAAACATCCCATGGATCCTGGATCCTGATCCCAAACATTCCAGGGTGTCCTGGATCCCGATCCCAAACATCCTCTGGACCCTGGATCCTGATCCCAAACATCCCATGGATCCCGATCCCAAACACCCCACGGATCCCAAATCCCGATCCCAAACCCCCCAGGGGGTCCCGGATCCCGATCCCAAACATCCTCTGGATCCTGGATCCCATTCCCGACTCTCCCATGGATCCTGGATCCCGATCCCAAACATCCCAGGGGGATCCTGGATCCCATTCCCAACTCTCCCACGGATCCTGGACCCCAATCTCAAACCCCCCAGGGATCCTGGATCCCCATCCCAAACATCCCATGGATCCTGGATCCCATTCCCGACTCTCCCATGGATCCTGGATCCCGATCCCAAACATCCCACAGGATCCTGGACCCCGATCCCAAACCCCCCAGGGGATCCTGGATCCCATTCCCGACTCTCCCATGGATCCTGGATCCCGATCCCTGAATACCCCAAGGTCCCGGATCCTGATCCTCTGGATCCTGGATCCCGATCCCAAACATCCCATGGATCCTGGATCCTGATCCCAAACATCCCATGGATCCCGAATCCCAATCCCAAACATCCCAGGGGGATCCTGGATCCCATTCCCGACTCTCCCATGGATCCCGGATCCCGATCCCAAACCCCCGAGAGGGTCCTGGATCCCGATCCCAAACATCCCACGGATCCCGAATCCTGATCCCAAACATCCCAGGGGGGCCCTGGATCCCCATCCCCGACTCTCCCCCGGCTCCCGACCCCCCGAATCCTCCTCCCGAACACCCCGGCGTTCCCAAAACCCAACCCAACCCCCCTCCAAAATCCCGGGATAATCCCATTTTCCCCCCTTTTCCTTTTTTCCCAGGCCCTTCCTACTCGACCCCCTTGGTTCCCGTCGTGACCCTGCACCCGCCGTCCCGCGAGGAATTCCAGGGGCCCTTCCGGAACTCCACCCTCCTCTGCCAGGTCCTGGGGCCCCGCCCGTCCCCCCCCGTCCGCTGGTTCCGCAACGGCCACGCCCTGGAGGAGGGCGTGGCCACCCGGGAGGAGGGGGCGGGGCCTTCCGGAACCTTCCTGACCAGCAGCCGCGTCGTCGTCACCGAGGCCGAGTGGGAGCGCGGGGACACCTTCAC